TAGAGTACTGCATCCAGTTTTGGTCACCACACTATAAAAAATATGTTAAGACTCTAAAAAAAGTGCAGAGGAGAGCAACCAGGATGACTAGGGGACTGGAAACTAAAACATATGAAGAACGGTTGCAGGAACTGGGCATGGCTAGTTTAGTGAAGAGAAGGACCAGGGGAGACATGATAGCAGCGTTCCAATATTTGAGGGGCTGCCACAAAGAGGAGGGGGTAAAACTATTTTCCAAAGCACCTGAAGGCCAGACAAGGAATAATGGATGAAAGCTAACCAAGGAGAGATTCAACCTGAAAATAAGGGGAAATTTTCTGACAGTGAGAACAATCAACCAATGGAACAGAAGTTGCCTTCGGAAGTTGTGGGGGCTTCATCACTTGAGACTTTCAAGAAGAGACTGGACTGCCATTTGACAGAAATGGTGTAGGGTCTCCTGCTTGAGCTGGACTAGATGACCTATAAATATGATGACAAACCTATGGCACGTGTGCCACAAGGAGCCATTTCTGAGGGCATGCGAGGCGTTGCCCTGTCAGCTCCAACAAGCAGTTGCACGCTGCCCAGCTGATTTTCAGCCTTGATTTTCCGCCGTTTTTCACTCTCCCTGACGCCTCTGAAGGGAAAAAAATGCCAAACGGGCAACCGGAAGTCCATTCCTGAACTTCCAGTTTGCGTGTTGGGCCATTTTTCGCTCACCCCAGGCTCGAAGAAAGCCTCTGGAGCCTGGGGAGGGAAAAAACGGACCTACCGGGCCCTACGGAAGTCGGACAACGGGTCGTTTATGGCCTCGGGGGGGGGGGGAGGCTGTTTTCACCCTCCCCAGGCTCCATGAAAGCCGGGTTGTGGGGGTGTCACATGTGCATGGGCACAGCATTGGGGGGGGCATTAAAGTATGGGGGTGGGCATACTTTTGGCACCCGAGGTGAAAAAGGCTCGCCATCACTGACTTATAAGGTCCCTTCCAATTCGGTTAATCAGTTAAATCTGTTAAGTCAGATCAAATTCAGCCGCTGCTCAAATGGAGCATTTTGCCATGACCAGTTAAAAACGACAAGAAGCGAAAGGAAAAAAACAGTCTTCCTTTGTAGATGCGTTCATATATTTGTTTAACAAACGTACAGAGCTGCCCAGGGGAAATTAGGGGAGGAACCAGATAAAACCAAGGTACACAAATCCAATCAAAATTGAAATTGGATGGAGGCCCCTAAAAAGAACATTGTCAACAAATAATCAAATCTAGACTCACACTAGACCTCCATCAATGCCTGGGGGGGAATTGTTTATGGGGCTCAGGCTGTCTGCATTGGGGGGGGGGGGCTGTCCCATAAGAACGATGCCATGCCAAAGAAGGCGCACTTCTAGGCCCCACAAGGTGCACTCTTTTACAGTAGAGGTCCCCAATCTCCAGTCTGTGGACTGGCACCAGTCTGCAGCATGCCAGAAACCGGGCCGCTCAAACAAAGTGGTGGGACGCAGGCAGCACGCGGAATCATGTCCCCTCCGGTCCATGGAAAAGCCTTTTTCCACAGAACCGGTCCCTGGTACCCAAAAGGTTTTGGGGGGGGGGAAGGCGCTGCTTTACGGAGAGGACCTAGAGCAGTGAAGGCTAACCTTTTTGTCCTCGCGTGCTGAAAGGGTGCGCATGCCCACACCATAATGCAATGCATGTGACACACACATCCATTGATCAGCGCACATGCGCACATCTGACAAGCCTGGGTTGCGAACCGGTAGTAAAACCGGCAGCAATGCACCCCTGGCAGGCACACACAACTTCATTTGAGTGGGATTGAGAGTGCCAGCACCTGCCACTCGCACGTGAGAGGCGGTAACTGCATGCACAAACTCACCTGCCACTCACGTGGCCCAATTCTGAATAATCCTCAGCCCGATAGTGGGCTGTGGCCCAAGGGGAACCCCTGATCTAAGGTATGAGTGACTGTGAACCATGCCTCCCAATCTAGAAATAAGCACCACTGTCACAGAAGATGCATTTGTGCAAGATCACTCCTGGCCACAGCTGTCACCTTCTCCACAAGTCAGTCTAGGAAAACCCCAGAAAGCATTAAATCTCCAGATTCAACAGCTTCCCTCGCCAGAAGATCACGTGTCCTTTGAATGGGCAACCAAACAGCCCATTTTAAAAAGTTGCAAGGGAACCAGAAAAACAGCAGTCAACTCAGTTTGAAGTCTAAAGGTAAAGCTTTCCCTCGCACATATGTGCTAGTCGTTCCCAACTCTATGGGACAGTGCTCATCTCCATTTCAAAGCCGAAGAGCCAGCGCTGTCCAAAGACATCTCCGTGGTCATGTGGCCGGCATGACTAAACACCGAAGGTGCACGGAACACTGTTACCTTCCCACCAAAGGTCCCTATTTTTCTACTTGCATTTTACATGCTTTTGAACTGCTAGGTTGCCAGAAGCTGGGACAAGTAATGGGAGCTAACTCCATTATGCAGCGCTAGGGATTCGAACCGCCAACCTTTCTGACTGGATGTCAAAAACACATCCACAACTCCCCCCCTCCCCAACTCAGAGAATCTACGCTGCAGTTCCAGACATCTGTGTCGAAAGGATGGAGGACACTTGTCTCAGAGGGGTGACCTCTCATGTGGTCAGAGCCTTCTGGCCATATGTGGTTAGTTATGGATTTGCAAAAAAACCTGTGGGAAAGTGAGGAGAAAGATGTTGTGAATCAGAGATTTTCTACTCCAGCGTGGTCCGTTCATGGCAGGTGATTAATCACCAGCATTCAGCTTACCCAACGTAACAGAATTGTTGTGAGAATAAAGTAAGCATCTCATTTATGCTTTAATAATATGAAAGGCATTAAAAGCTGTTCCTAATAAAGCTGCCTTTTGCAACTGATTGATGGGGACTTTGTTACGTGGTGCTCCAGATGTTTTGGGATTGCACTCAAGGCGTCTATTGCTCTTACTATTATCTTTGCTTTGCCCCCTTTCCACAGTTCTACTTTTATTTGCAGGCATGTGCATTTTGTGATTGTGATAATTTCCGTATTTTTGGGAGTATAAGACGCACCTAGCTTTTGGGGAGGAAAACAAGAAGAAAAAAGCTGCCTCTGCCTCCCAGCAATTTGCCTCCTTGCAGCAAACAACAAACAGCCTGTTTCAGTTTCAACTGCAGCACAGCCTGATTATCACAAGCAGCTGATTGTTGGTTCAATCGGCTTCCCGACAATCAGCTTTTTCAGGCTGCAGGGATTGCCACTGCTTACTGCCGCCCTCGCGTGCCCCATTTTCAGCCTCCGACACCCCGTTTTCGGCCTCTGTATCCCCATTTTCTGCCCGTTCCGGGCGGCAGGGATCAGAATGGGTGGGAAATGGGGACACGGAAGCCAAAAATTGGATGCGGAGGCCGAAAATGGGGTACGCGGAGGCGGCAATCCCTGCAGCCTGAAGCAGCTGATGGTCGGGAAGCCGATCCAACTGATAATCAGCTGCTTGTGCTAATCAGGCTGTGCTGAAGCTGAAACAGGCTGTTTGCTGCAAGGAGGCAAATTGTTGGGAGGCAGAGGCCAAAGAATGGTGGCCGGCGGACAGCCGGGCTACATTAAGTGAGAGTGTATAAAACACACCCAAATTTTTACCCTCTTTGGGCAGGGGGAGTGTGTCTTATACTCCAAAAATACGGTATATTTTCATCAGACTCAGCTGAACTGAGAGCCTTTGATCGACCTGAATTCCCTCCCCTCTTTCGGGAGTTTATTTCAATCTCTACCGAGCCAATCAATTATACATTGTGAGTCAAGTAATTTTGTCAGGTTGCTATGGCGAGCCTGAAGTATTCTAAAAGAACAAGTTGTCACATTGCTTTCCCAAACGCCCTCTTCGTGTTCTTATTCAGCGTACCTATAATGTTACAGAAGACTTGGTTCGGCAAAGAGAATGGGGACAGCGTGGTTCAGCAAATAAACGGTGGCCTTTAGAACCCATTTATAAAAGCTGTAAACACAAAAAGCAACGCTGGGCAAGGTTTAGGGATCCCAATTGCTGTTGCGCATTCCTGCTACTGAACCGGTAGGGAAGAAATAGAATACCATCTGTGGCCTTGACTGTAGACTTGCAGACGAAGTTCCTGAAAATCCAGCCAAAATTGTTCCACATCAGGCTATTCCTCAACCATGGCAGTACTGCCGTTGCTGCTGCTACTCTGCCTTTCTACCCAGAAGGCAGATTAAGCATATTCCCCACAGGGAAACTTTATTTTTGTCCATTTTATTATCTAAAAATAGACTGACCTGAGAAAACTTCCTCAGACAAATATAAATATCCTTTAGTGCATGACCTTCTCTGAATTTTGTAATTCGAGTCGGGGCATAAAATAGTCATATTAAAACACATGCTTTATGTTTGACATTTGTGGTGGCTGTTGCTGTTAAGAGAAATGGATCAAATAAACAATGGGAAACTGACTTGGTCTGGAAACAGAGCAATCGGTCCATTCCAGGGGTGGGTCCCTGCCAGTTCTAACCTCTTCTATAGAAGAGGTTCCACAAATCTACAGTGCCGCTTAGAACCGGTTCCAGCCCCCTCCCCAGGGAGCTGGAACATAACCCCCCGTGCCCCATTTTCAGCCTGGATGGCCTCCTGCAGCACCCTGCTGGCCAAAATGGGGTGCAGGGAGGCACACACGCCCCCCTCATGTCCCATTTTTGCTAGCAGAGGCACCATGGACCACATTTAAGCATCCTGCAGGCCAGATCTGCTCCACAGGCCGGCCTCTCTCTCCCTCCCTCCCTCCCTCTCTCTCTTTCTACTAAGAGCAGCTGTGGGACACTCTG